ACACATCAGCGACTGGGTTCAAGCCAACAGACTAATATTAAATGTCGACAAAACCAAGTCCATAGTCTTCGGAACTAGACACAAACTAAAACACAAACCAACCCTACAGCTTTCAATGCACAACAAGCCGATTGAACAGGTAGAGCAGGCGAAACTGCTTGGATTATTATTGGACCAGCAGTTAACCTTAGCGCAACACCTTGACAAGGTTAAATCCAAAATGGCAAGTGCTCTAGCAGCAATTGCTAGATCACATGACTTTCTCATGGGTGACACGCTAAAGACGGCAACTCAAACACTTGTCCTGAGTCATCTGGACTACTGCTCTTGCCTTCTATCGTCCAGATCTCAGTCTAACCTGAGCGGGTTGCAGATTTTACAAAATAAGGCGGCTAGGCTTGTGTTAAATGCGGAGTATAACTGCAGGATCGACGAACTGCACAGTAGATTAAACTGGCCCAGAGTTAACGAAAGACTTTACACAAACACACTCTCCACGTTCCACAAACTCCTGACTACTGGCAAACCTGTAACTATCTACAATAAACTACGCAGAATCAACAACACACACCAACACAACACACGACTTTCACAGGCGGGAGGCTTCAGACTACCAAAACCCAGAATTTCCTCTGCTACTAGGACATTTCTGTACAGGTGCACAAAATCCTACAACACTTTCCCACAACACATCAAATCATCCGCACCATCAGCGTTAAAAAACACGTCAAGGACAGGTTAAAACACAAACATACACAAACAGACCCCTGCAGCACTGGTGGTAGCATAATGATTTTTAAATGTAAATATATAACTTGTATGTACATGTATTATTTATTGCATTGACCTCTGACCCCTCAAACAATCTCTTATCTCACTACTTTGTTGTATATAGAATAGGATAGGTTAAGTTAAGTAATAGTTACAGGTTGTTGTATTTTATGTGTGGCAACAAGCAAGTGTATATACGTTTGTGTTATAAGTTTGTAATATGTTTTTAAGACTCCAGGAAGAATAGTGAGTATAAGCGTATGCTTATATTCACTAATGGAGATCCTTCAAATAAACAAATAAACAAACGTTTCCAAACCGGCACACTGTGCCCTGATACTTTTGAAACGCACTCTCATACTCTTGAGGCAAATTCTACCAGACCTTAATTACCAGTCTGTTTAGAATAATTTTTCTGTTTAGAATAACTTTTTTCTCTAATCCTTGGTGTAGAACAGCAATTCAGAACAATTTAGAAAGACCTAAACCCTTTTTTTAGAAACTTTCTAAACAAAATGCCTCAAGGACGAAGGATGCTGAGACGCTGTAGACCAGCTTTGTTCACATACATGTATACTGTATACGGTATACAAATGCTATCATGAAAGTTCATCTGTGTTGGTAGTTACATGTTTAAAGTTAAAACTTTTGATCCAACACAAAAATTCTCTCACCTAGAGCTTTCAACCAGTCACTCTGGTCTTCCTCAGTAGACTGACCCAGTGATCCCCAGTGGGGATGTGGTAGATGACACCACACTTCTTCTCTTTGGGGGTTTTATCAAAGAGAAGAAGTGTGGTGTCATCTACCACATCCCCTGCCAGGGCAAGAACAACAGGGGGCCCTGCCAGGAAACTTATATTGGTGAAACGGAGAGGTCTCTAAAAGCCAGGTTTCAGGAACATACACGGCCTAGTTCTGCCAGTTCAGAGGTGTCTAAACACATTCACATAGAGTCACCCGGACACCATGTCTCACTTGACACTGTAAGGATTTTAGACACTGAACAAGACTATTTCTTGAGAGGGGTGAAGGAAGCCATTTACATCAGGGCCCATCGCCCTACATTGAACCGCGACGGGGGCCGACATCGTCTACCAGATACCTTTGACCCAGTGTTGACGTCACACTTCAAAGAAGCCACGTGGCAAGCTTCACTGGGTCAGTCTACTGAGGAAGACCAGAGTGACTGGTTGAAAGCTCTAGGTGAGAGAATTTTTGTGTTGGATCAAAAGTTTTAACTTTAAACGGTATACAAATGGATCAGACGTTGTTAGCAGAAGTATGTAGGAACGACTGCTCGGGATACTGGAAAAATAGTACAAATTGACCAAATAGACTTGATAGCTTACAAGAGGAGGCACTATGGGGCAACACACTGATTTCATCCCCAAATTAGGCCACACTGACTTAATTTTATGGATGACATCCACGCGAGCATTGATTTCCGTCTGTTCTAAAAAAAGAACTCAGCGCAGTGCCGACTCTTGAATGCAACAAGAGGCCAGCATGTGCCAGCTTGACGTAAAAGTCGCCCTGTACTACAATAAATTCACAATACCAGCTTTGGGTTCCTGTTGTTTCACCGCATTTTTTTGGCTGGATTTTTTTTATTCGCCCGCGCGCGCTAGTTTGGGGGTCGTCAGAGGATGTCATCCATAAAATTATATCAGTGTGGCCTTAGCAGTCTGGAAGGCTGAACAAATGACTAAACACAAAGAAAGGAAACCTAAAGAAAAAGTATAGTCCCAAACATTTTTGTATTCAATTTCTAAAAATTTGCGTGAGGATGTCATCAATTTTAATCGAGTAAGCGTGGCCTCTGCAAACATCTTGTCTTTAAAACCCTAAACCGTACACCTGGGGTCCGCGCGGACCCCAGCAGTATATATTCTGTAACATTTTTTTTTTGTTTCTAAGATTTTTTTTTATGAAATTTCACGTAATTGTCACCCACAAAGTTGTCCCTCAATACAGTGCAGAAAATTTCGTTTCCCCGAATTGAGCAAACTAATTGAGCTGGTAGCATGTTGATGATTTCTCCAAATTTGAAAACAAAACTGTTGTAATCAGTCCGGGAAGGTGTACTGTTGAGGGTTAATAGATTGTTCCAAAAGACGTGACAATCACATTTCATTTCCTTCGGAGGACAGTTCCTTTCCAATAATGTGCTTCCTACAACGGGGTCGTCGACCCCAAAAAGGGGTGATGGGAATTAAGGCCACACCGATTTAATTTTATGTATGACATCCACGCGCGCATTGATTTTCGCCTGTTCTCCAAAAAAAAAGATCACGTCCTCCGAGGCTCTGGCCTGGTTCTAGACCTGGGAACTTAGCGATAATACGGAGCCGGCGGTAACTCTGAAAGATGGCGCCCAGGCTACCAAAGCTCAAGGACTCAAGAATTCAGTACATACGTACACTGCCGATTCATAAATTCCGCAAAAAGCCACGCACTGCCGCAAATTCACAATACCAGCTTTGTATTCCTGTGTTTTAGTAGCATTTTTATTTTGGGCCGGAATTTTTTTTATTCACCCGTCATCCACAAAATTAAGGCGGTGTGGCCTAAAGAAAGGGTCAACCCAGAAGGGGGAGGGGGGCTGGGTAGACTTCAAGGTTGTATAACGCAGTATCTATGGGCATATAGATTATATAGGTGGCATTCCATGTATTGTATTCATATTTCATGATACTTTTTACACGCTAAATCACATGAACCATGACTATATGAACCTTTTACTTATTATGTAATCTATAGTAATTCATACCGAAACCTACCATGACTATGAACCTTTTACTTAGTAAGTAATCTATAGTAATTCATACCGAAACCTACCATGACTATGAACCCTTTACTTAGTAAGTAATCTATAGTAATTAATACCGAAACCTACCATGACTATGAACCTTTTACTTATTAAATGATCTATAGTAATTCATACCGAAACCTACCATGACTATGAACCTTTTACTTATTAAATGATCTATAGTAATTCATACCGAAACCTACCATGACTATGAACCTTTTACTTAGTAAGTAATCTATAGTAATTCATACCGAAACCTATCAATAAACTAAATGTCTAGATACTCTCCTAGGTATTCTTAAGCCATCACAGACAAACGGACGGATGGAAAGACCAAACAAGGGAAATCGTAGATTTCAAACCTCCGGGTTTTTTGTGTTCTATTGGTTTAGGTTATTTGTTTGTGTGTAGTATGGAAGTTGCGTAATATGTTTGTATGTGTTTGATGGCTACTGACGGTTGGTTCGGTATGGACTGTTGATTAACGTGTCTGACAGCCTGCACCATGGTTATTTCCCTACCACCATGCCTGCACCGTCACCAGCGCCATTACCCCCGCCGTCATCCCGCGCCGTCATTGCTACGCCGTCACCCAAAATTTTTATCGGAACCAGACACCCCTCTGTTTGACCCCTTTTGAATGCTAAGACCCAAAACTGCAACCTCCCCATTCCTTAACAACATGGTAAATTCCATTTTCAGCATGGCGGGGGTGTCCGGAGCACTTAAAAACCTTTTATTTCGACGCCCATAAACACATATGCAATTAAACAAAAACGTTCTGCATCATCTGCAGCCCAATAGCAATACGTATACCGAACAACAGACCAATCCGTCCAGCCGATCGCGAGAAACAGCTGCTGACAGAAATGTTTCGAACAATAGTAAAACCTCCTCGCGGAAGGATATCTCCTTCCCCGGAGGTAATGAAGGAACGGAGCAGACACTCTCCCCAACGAGACCTAAAACATAACCTCCTGGCGGAGGTAACAAGGAAGTTTTCCCAGCTACAACTACCAGCTAGCCGACAGGAAGCGTCAAAATTGCTGCATAAGAACATGTACACGTATCTCTTTAAAAAAAAAGAAGAAAAAAAAAGAAGGCCGCTAGCGTTTTCTCTTACAGTTGTTTCCTTGCCAAGTTCAATTAAGATTCAGATCATCAGAAAGAAGAAGGAAGTTTTCACAGCCACAACTACCAGCTAGCCGACAGGAAGCGTCAAAATTGCTGCACAAACACATGTATATGTCTCTCTTAAAAAAAAAGGCCGCTGGCGTTTTCTCTTACAGTTAATTGTTTCCTTGCCAAGATTTAGATCATCAGAAAGAAGAAGGAAGTTTTCCCAGCTACAAGTTCCAGCTAGCCGACAGGAAGCGTTGAGCATGACGTATCCTTTATGCACAAGAAGGCCGCTGACGCTGGTATTTCCTTGCCAAGTCCATTTAGTATAAAAGGCCTGGTAAGTTTCAGTGTTACAGTGTGTGGTGAGAAGACACGGTGATTCAGATTTCAACGTACAGCCTATCCTAGAGACACAGGTCGGTGCCTTTCTTACATGGAGTTTGATTTTTGTTTGTCTTGGTTGAAGGATTTAATTTGTGTTTTTTTTTATTTTTCAAACTGTCGCCATGGCAATAAAATGTCACGGCACATCTTTTTTATATTATCAAGGCGATCATCTTTCCTTTGGGATATTTCATGAAATCACGGTGCTTGGTGTAACCAAGGAGGTTTAAAATCAATGTTAAAAGCCTTGTCCTGTGGCCAATTTTCACACAATATTTTCAAATAATTTGAGGTCTTAACCAGGACCCTTGAATTTATTTGCCCTAACGTAGCGTAGTTAGTTCCGCATTGATTGCGTTTCGCTGCGGTGTGATGCGTTGCATGAGAAATACTCCCAAATTGTACAACAGGCAGAGTGCTATATAGATGGTACTGTATGTGCAACCCATATATATATATACGGGTCCCACAGGACAAGGGTTTTAAATCAATCGTATTTAACCTCCTAGGCGTAACTGGATCTTTACAAAGTCTATATCAGCCCTCGAGGTAACGTGCATTCTGAACAGCAAGTCAAAGCAGGACGATTTATATATACACGCAGGAAAGATACGCTGTTTTCGTACTTCATGTTTTTGCTGACACGTGTGTAAATGGCGTCGACATAGACGTAGCCGGGGGGGGGTACAAACCCCCCACATGGCTCAAAAGTCCAGTTTTTGGTCCACTTTTTATCCAAGTTCCAAGATTTTTCTTTCAAAGATCTACTGATTCGTATCACCAGTGGGGCTGGCATCGTAGAAAAACTGCTCACTCTATCATTGAATAAAAAGTAATCTATATTTTTTCCCCTTAAAACCCTCTCAAAAAATGCAGGAAATGCCATTGCAGAGGGTTCATTTTTCAACATTTTCTGGGGGAGCATGCCCTCTGACCCCCCTAGGAACCTCGTGCCTTCGGCGCTCGCCTCGTGCCTACGGCGCTCGCTGGTCCCCTCAAGCAGTGGGAAGAACCCACCATTCAAAATCGTGACTTTCTTCCAATACTTTTAACGTTACGCTAGACGGGTCAAACGGGATATCTTTAAGTTTAACTTTATTGCGCAACAGTTGTACAGGGTACAAAGTATGGCATCTACTAACTTAAAAGATCTACTGATTCGTATCGTATCGCCAGCGGGGCTGGAATCGTAGAAAAAAAACTGCTTACTTCATCATTGAATAAAAAGTTACCCATGATTTTTTCCTTAAAACCCTCTCAAAAATGCAGGAAATGCCATTAATTTCAGAAGGTTCATTTTTCAAATCCGGACCCCACTAGAATCTTGGGACCTTCGGCACTCGACCAGCGCCCACAGCGCTCACCTGTCCCCTCAAGCAGTGGGAACAACCCCCCCCCCCC